AGGTCTTGCATTGCGGTAAAAAAGGAAAGAGAACTCAGGGAGTCTTTATATATATAATATATATATATATATCTGTGGATTGTGGATGGGTTTCGATTCCACACCTCGTTCCGTTTCTGAACGGAACTCTTGCAGTTTCGACCAAGCAAGGAGGCACCCGGATAGCTTGGAGGTGGTTCCACCACCATGTGACCGCCCGACCAGTCGTCCACCGTGCAGTCGTAGGTCGGTTCCGTCTCGTGCCACGACTGACCTGGAGACTGAACCATCAGCATCGAGGTGAGCTGTATAAACCTGCCCGAAAGGCGAACCTCGGCTAGACCCAAGCACCTCCTTCCTTCGCAAGCGGGGAGTGTCAAGATGATCCACATTTTTGGAAGTTTGTGGGTCCACCGTAAATAGATGGCGCACGGCTTGTTTATTTGGTCCGACAGAGCGATGCTATGCTGCAAGAGTAGCAAAGCATCAAGAGGACCTCCAAACCAATCCCCCCCTCGTTCTGTGAGGACCTCCAAACCAATTCCAAGACCAAGGCGAAACCACTCGCAGGACCTGCTTCTCATCCTTTTCGTTTCTCCTTCGCTGGTCCGAATCCTCATCGCCCTTGTCGCTCCGCGTAGGGGTCGGTCGATCACGGTGGATCACGCCTCGCCGCCGTCGCACCGTGCCGTGGGGTGCACGGTTCCGAACGCAGAGGTCCTGGATCAAGCGCAGCACGTCCTATGAAGCGCCACCCCAGCGCTTCACCAAGGAAGGCGGGCGGGGATGCCGGACAGGACGTTGGGAAGCCGATCGTGGCGAAGCCAGAGGTTCTCACGGCCAGAGACCAGAGCAGTTGAAAGACCCAGTGAAGAGGTTCTGCGAGCCAGAGGTTCTGCGAATTCAACAAAAGAAACTTTGCAGGTCAAAGAACCAAACATGTAGTGTAGAAAATGACATCTGAGTCTCCTCTAGGCCAGCTGGTGAGCAGGTATCATTCTCTTCTTTTAGAATACCTCTGAACTTCCTCCAGTTGGAGATTCTTAAAGGTGGCCCTGCCGCTTCAGATAGTTCAGACCTGGGTACGATCAAGAAGAGATGCCATCCCCCTGATGATTTTTGCCAGTGATGCCCTTAAACGCATCAGACACACTTCACTTTGCACCCACCACCCACCACGGTTTCATGGTGCTTTCTTTTTTTCTTGTGGCAGATGACGTCTCACGTCGCTTTTGGCCGTCGGACCATCCGCTGATCTGTTGGAAGCTGGGTGCGCAACATCCTCGGCGCCCAGGTGGAACATACTCGCATGTGTGAGCCCGACCAAGGCACAGCGGGCGCGGTCTTTGCGCAGGTTTTCCTCCCTGTGGTTTGAAGCGCCGACATGCGAGTACGTTTGTTCTGGAATTGTTTGGAGGGTACGTTTCTGCGGGTTACCTTTGGGGGTTCATGGCTATTCCAAGTAACTTGTGATTTTGACCATGTGTTTTGTTTTTGCTGGTGTTCGCACTTGTGTTCTGTGTAAACAGGATCGTCACTTGGTGGAAGATGGGCTTTGTTACATGATTTGAGGGCAAAATTGGAGCTCCATAGTACAGTATGTGTTCAAAGAAATCTGTCTGTACATAGTCTTACATAGTGACCTGTTTGATGTTGTCCTCCATGGCACACATGCCGGTACGATGTGCTTTTCAATGCTCTTGACCGCTCGGTGGCAACTCGACTCGCGGGGAGCGCCGCGGGCCGCCGGCAGTGAAGGGTCCATGGGGGGATCACTGCACCGTTGACAGATGGATCGTTCCTGGTGATCGCGTCCTCTGTGATCCTGGTGTCCTCTCCGTGTTTTGGGTGAAGGTTTCTATTCTGACGAAGACATCTCATGGTTTAAGTGGATGGCATGGCCATGCATGGCCCCTTGAAAGACGACTTTCCTCTACAAATACGGGGCTTTCACTCCACGTCCATGTGATATGTTCGTCAGAGTGTACAAGCTGCCACTTCCCCCCACTACTTTCCAAGCAACATTCTTTCGGAAAAAAAACCCGCTCTGGAGAGCGTTTGGGGAGACTGGCGTCGGATGTGGGGAAGACTGACCCCAGATGCATGCTTCAACGATCGATGGTCCAAAACGGTCGACCTCGAGGGGTCGACCTCGAGCCGAACGGTCAAACGGTCGAACCGCTTGAGCGTCGCGGTCAGCCTCAGGTCGAACGCTGGCGGTCACGTGTTGAGTCCGCGGAGTCCCGCGATCCGCGTCGAAAGGATGGAGATGGACGGAGCACGCGGGACGAGCGCGGAGCGCGTCCGCGTCTGGACGGTGGAACTAGATGCCTTTTGGAACCCGCTGGGATGAGAAGTGAAAGACTTGCAAAGCAACTGAAGCATTCATATTTATACCGTACCAGTTCACATACATCTCCTGTCGGTTCTTAGTTGTTATGGTTCTGGCTTGTTCTTAATCAAAGCCTTCAGAGCACAACGTCGGTCGCCACAAAAGCGTCCAGGGCAACGACCATTGGGTGGGTCCGGCGGTTGACGAGAACAGATGCAGTTGGTTCCTTGGGTGCTTTCGAGGCGCCCAAACAAGCTTCAAAGACCGGGAAAAACCTGGGTTTCAACATCTTGATTAGCACCTCAGCCAGGGGTTTTCCACCCTTCAGATGCCAGCTGTAGGTTTTGGAATTCGATTTCAAGATTGCATTACAATTAAGCGCGGAAACATGGGTGGAGTCCATTCTGCTGATGCTGCGCCACTCGGATCATTTCGATGTTCAGCCGATGCTTTGCAGAAAAAGTCTCGGTCTTGAGCAGATGCTCAAACAAGCAGAGGATTGCTCAAACAAACTGGCATGACCTTCAAATGTATCAAGCATATAGAGAGAGGGCCGGTATGGTCTAGTGGTGTCTAGTGGCGATGTTCCGCATTCCTTGGGAGGCGGACCCAGGTGCAATCCCCACTGGGTACCCCTGCAGTTTTTGGGGGATGAGCTAAGGTGTGGTAATCATTGAACAACCAGTCAGTATTAAAATGGGGGTTACGCTAAATAATGATTCCAGGGGGGTACGTCAATGGGCAGAATCATTTAAGTAGAATCATTTCTCTGGAATCATTTTTTGACAGGAGGGTTCATGGGGGGGCGTCAACCCCCCCGAGAATCATTTTCATTAATTTTTAACTTGATGTGAATGATGTGCCAGAATCATTTTCACATGTTGCAATGTCATAATTGCATTCGCCTCAGTCTCAAGCATACAGATTTCTATTGGAGAGTCCATCAAATACAGAAAACAGTATTAAAACAGATTCTGCACCAATGCAAAAGGTGGGAACGCATATTGCTTCAATATTTCATGTTTTTCAACGTGTGCGCTTGTACCAACTGATGGCTGAGCCTCCCAAACCTATTAAGTTTTTCCATGTGGGTTCTTGCTCTGGCAAGAAAAGAAACCACCCCAATTCTGATGTCAACCCCCCCCTGGAATCATTTCCACACCAGTCGTTTCCATATGAAAACACATAACTCACCACATTCTTAGACACCCAGCGGGAAAACATTGGACACCGACAACAATACATAATAATACCTATAATACCTATGGAAATAGAACGACATGGTGGAATCGTGGAACAAATTGCAATTCCCAGCTCCATTACCCTTGCCCAGATTGGGTATGGGAGTTTCCTCTAAACACCCCACCTTCCAGAGTGCAGCCCCTCCAAGATTTTACCCTTACACCCCATTCTGATGTCAACCCCCCTGGAATCATTTCCACACACCTGTCATTTCCACATTTCTCATCACATTACCATTCCAGGCACCACTACCCATGAAAGATCCCATGTCCATTTCCCAGACTGGGCATTCTTGGATATTCTTGGGGTTCCTGTAAAAACATCAAAAAAACATCTAAAGATCTACCACCACTCCCCTACCCTCAAAGAACATCAAAAAAACACCCCCAGTTCTGATGTCAACCCCCCCTGGAATCATTTCCACACCAGTCATTTCCATATAAAATCACATAACTCACCACATTCTTAGACACCCAGTGGGAAAACATTGGACACCGACAATAATACATAATAATACCTAAACATAATAATACCAATAATACTTTGGGTACAGAGTTCAGATGTCAGGAAATTTCTGCAGATTTCAGGAAATGATCCTGACCGTGGATGACTGTCAGAATCAATATCACCAACCCCCCTCACACCCCCCCCAGAATCATTTAAAATGATTCCTGGGAGTCTTGAGGTGGGCCCCCCTTTAACGTAAGGGCCATGTATTAAACATAGAGCATCACAATGGCACATTCGAATCATGCCGTTTAAGTATGTACAGACCAGGTGCGCAGGTGCCAGAGCTGGCCGTCGATATGTCTCCTTCCCAAGCCCCCAACGCTCTCCCTGGTGTTTTTCAACAGAAGTAGATGTAGATGTCGGTTTGAAGAACACACCCACATCACCCATATCCTCTTCACCCTGATCCTCTCACTCAATCCATATCGGTGCAAGGCTGGCCTAGGGTGGAAACCAGTTCTTCTTAGGCATGGCCAGCCAGCTGGGGCGACCGAACATGGCGATAGGCGCCCAACTTCTGCCTAATTCCACCCAGCCCAACCCGCGCGAGAAATCCTACGCCGGCGCGGCACATCGAGTGGCCTTTGCCGGTCAAGCGCTTGTTCCGGTCAAACAATGTCCGGTGGAGCGCGTGGACTTTCAGGCCAGTTTAGGAGAGCCGAATCTTCGCTAGCATGTGCATTGACATTGAACAATCCTGCCCATGTATCTACCCCATAGGGTGCCCCCAAAACCGTCCGGCCTCTGGACGTTTGAGAACTATTTCAGCAAAGTAGTGGTGGTTTAAGCACTAGCCAGATTCCAGTCTTGCACGACAGGTGAATCCTTGTGTGGGGGGGGGTTGCAGGTTCCACGGAAACTGTTAGACCAGAGGTTTCAAGGAAACGATGTCAGTCTTCGGTTTTTACAGGTTCTGTCTGTCAAGGATACCTGTTCCATGGACAAGGGGGCTCCAAATAACGAAAGGCGTTGAAAAACACCTGAAATCCTTCTGCACTTCGGGTGCAGTCTCGGTGGCTTTTGGTCCCCCTTCGGTGCGTGGAGGGTTCTGGAGCTGTGGTGCACAGCCGTGGTGAACTCTGGCAACCAACCCAGCCCCTTCCGGGCGGCCGAACGGAGGCGATCCCTGCATCTCGCCCCTTTCGGCGTCGAAACCGCCCGATTCGTCAGACACCCAAGCTCGCTCTCGGGCAGCGCACCTGTCCGATGCACATCCACCCAGTCAGTCATCCACCCCTGTGTCGATCGGTGTATCAGCGGTGGGGGACCGTCTTTCCGGTGGTCAGGCGGGTGAGGTGTATGAGAGTTGAGTCTGTTTTTTCGGAAGCAAAGAGCAAAAACCTCCAGAATCGGCCTAAAACATCGCCCACAAAGATCCTAGTAGAAGGAAAAGTCTTGGTTCGAGCCCCTGACCTAGGATAAGACCGTTTGGATGTCCTCTGAACCCTAAGGCTTTGTAGATGAAGGTTCTCTCAGTGGCCTATTTATTGGATGAAGAAAGCAGGCATGCATGAGAAACAAACGCTGGCCTCTGCAGATGTCCTTCTCTTGCGAAGCTGCTTGTATGCTGCCAAAAGAACCTCTTTTTTCAGAGAATGCTTTGCTGAGGCCTAGTCTGCTGCTAAAACTGCACTGAAGGTGCTGCGAACGCAGACACATCCATGTCGATCTCGTTGCCTGCCGCTGGAGAAAGTCTGGAGAAGCTCTCGTCAACCTGAAAAGGAATCTGGACGCATCAGCTTGCGAGGTCACCCGTTTGTGTTTGTGTTGGAACCAAGATTTGGGTGATAGTTTTCAGAGAGTCCGATGTGATGGACAAGGGATTTTGTCAAGTAGCTTTGTGCTTTCAACCTTTTGGAGACTGTCAAGACACAAACTGGGGGAGGCCAAGACGGATGACTATTTCTAAGAGAAGGACCTCGAATAAAGAGACCTCATTCCTGAGGTCATGTGGGACAGGGATAGGTATCCAAGGCATCCCCAGACTTCCCAATCTGTTGTTAAAAAGAGAAGCCGTTGATTTTGGTGAAGACTTCTGGATTTGGGTTTTCTCCTTCTCGCAAGGTTCACGGTCGTGATTTCATGAAGGCTAGGTACTCACTCTCCTTTGATTTGCGACTTCTAGCCTTTGCAGAACTCTCAAAGGTGGCTGCCATCGAGGCTTTCTCCAGCCGAATCAGTTAAGACCTGGCCACAGTTGATGACGAGTGGATCAGAGCTCCAAGTGCCACAGTGGGTCAGTGCTTTCGCTAGATGCCCCTGCCAGGAGCCCCAAATAGGCCGACGCTACTGGTAGAGGAAGTGCCAAGACACCCCTACTCTGTTGGTCAAACCCGTTTTTTCAGTGGGCTCCGCACCTCAACGGGGACCCCGTCTTCTGGAGAAGGCACGGGGAAGTCGTCCCTGACAGGTTTCAACTTTCTTCAGAACCGGCAGACGCTGTGTGTTTGGTGTGCTTTTCGTCCTGCGTCGTCCTGAACCGATCGATCGGAGTCCAGCCAACGGACGAATGCCGCCGGGGCGGATCACGTCACAACTGGGGCCGGTGCCGCAACCGCAACCGCGGCCGCGGGCCGTCTGCCGAACCGGCGAGGCACACGTGAGAGTGACACGTGGTGTGGTTGGGTGCGACTGTAGGATCCCAGTCGAATCGTACTGAGAAGGTCGTTGAGGCTGAAGCGAGGAAGCTGGAGTGAGATGGTGGTGGATCTGTTCTTCATCACAGTAGGAAGCTTCTGAAGCAAGCATTTGAGGGCAAGGGGAGGGTTAACATAGGTCCAAGTGGACCAACTTGAAGGCTTTATGCCATGAGGTGATTGGGTCATGGCACCTGGAGCTGGCCCGACTCACCCCAAAAGTCTGTCTATAGCTCGTTCTTCCTCTCGGGACCAAAACCCAGCGTCTTCCGGTGCCATTGACCCACCGCCCTGCTGCGTCTTCCGGTGCCACCCATGGGGTTCTCCGGGTGGTCTTGGAGACCGAAGGTGGTCTTGGTTCTGCTGCGCCGCTTTGGCTAAGTATTTTGTTGAAGGTCCAAACAAGGTCCCAAGTCTTAGACCTCGGAGGTTGGAGATTCAGCTGCTCTGGCCACACCAAGTCGTGAACATGGCAAATGGAGATTCGCAGGCACACACCGATTTTCTTTGATGGTTGTAAAAAGAACGAGAGTAGACGAAAACGAAGGAATCTGCTTTCCTTCGGAGTTCTGAGTCCACAAGGTTTCGAAAGAACTTGGATCATCCAGCAGTTCCATGTCAGGCTGCCGAACTTGGAAGATGGGGCTGCCCCCGCTACATCCACGGCCACTGGATGGGACTAAAAACCATTTCGACATGGAACTGCTGGATCATTTCATTTCTTTTGTCAGGATCGGTCAGAATTGGACGACTCTTGCGAGGAAGGGAGAGCTGCTTGGACCTAGCATCTGCGCTGTCTGAGCCGCTCGGCCCCAAATCTTCATCGACGGCCAGGGATGTTTGCCCGGCTTTTGTTCCCCAAGGGCTGGGCGTTTCCAAACCAATTTTCAAGGGTCCTTTTTCAAGGGTTTCCATGATGGGCTTCCAAGCTGGTTGAGCCACGCAAGCTCCGACCTCAAAGCCTTGGTCTTCGGACGTCTGCTGGGCTGTACACGTTCAGAGCATCTCGGGTGGGACGTTCAGAGCATCTGTGGACGGAGGAACCTTCTACTCCGTCGGAGCTGGGGTTGGTTCGACCCCACACTTAGCGCATTTGAAGGACGAACTCACAGAGCAAGGTCGAGCTTGGCAAAAGTGTTCGAGAACGCAGCCGGACGTAGGAATCTGGTCTGCTAGCGCCTGGGAGTTGTTGGACACGTGCTGATCCGTTAGAGGGTGGTTTGCTTTGATCCATTGGATGGCAAGTATCAACAATCATCAACGACCATAAGATCAGGGGCTACTGTAGTTCCAAGTGCCTTTGTGATGGAAGACTTGCCTTGATTGGTGAAGAAACATCGAGTGACAAGTGATGTTAACGTGCTTGCTTGGGAGCTGTGGAAGACCATCGAAGGTCTTCGCCGAAAAAGCTGTGAATTTCATCTCGATGTCGGGGACTCCCCAAGAACCTTATGTTGTACTTCTGTGGGAGGGGGATCAGTGCTAGTGCTTTTCTGAAGTTTCACCTGATGCACTTTGCCTGCCAATAGAGCAAGTTTATGCCGGGAACCTGGGCATTTTCTTGGTTCAAGGCAATCTGACAACTGCATCCCCACCAGAAACAACTGAAGGGCAGAGGTACACGCATCCCAAGGTTAATGCAACATCCCTCTTTTACACGCGAACGTAGAGCTTTCCTTGCTGAAGACGACAGGCAGATCTATCAGACCTTTACCCTATTTTACCCTCGTTCCGTCGATGAGTCGACGTTCATGTTTTGGACCTCCCGCACACTGATGGACGGTTATATGTCCATTTGGACATCAAAACACGTTTGGACGACGGGTGGCGCCAGTCGAAGCAAGACCGGGCGAAGAAACCCGGCGGGACCTAAGCTCCTCGCGGCCATGGGAGCTTTGCGGAAGGCACCGTCCGATGTTCCGTGGGCTTTCGTTGGATGAGAATCGACTTGTCGCAAAAGCCCACATAGAAACTGGTACCAGCCTCCAACAAGTCATCTCTGAAGGTGACCGACTCAGAGTCGAGTGTTGGTGGAAGTGACTCTGCCCTTGTTTGGAAGATCATCTTCCAAACCACTTCTGGCAGGCCATCCATGTTTAGAAAAGGAACTATGCAGGTGAGTGAAGATGAGAGTTGATTAGAGGGTCACAGGGTTCAGGAAGATCCGGGGTCTCCTCGCAAACCCGTGAAGTCGCAAGTCGCGTTCGCAAGAAGAGACCCATAAGAGCTGGGCGGAGCAATCTTGGGGGTGACGCTTGGTCACCCACTGCACGTCTCACGGTCCGGGCGTTGGAGCTCCCCACGTGGAGCTACCCTCTCAGGTCCTTGGAGAGTAGACAGTTCACCCGGAGTGGTTGTGGACTCGTTTTGTTGCTACTAGGAACAAGAAGCTACTAGGTTGGAGGCCATCGCTATTAGGTTGGAGGCCATCACTAGAGTCCGCACTTGTCACTAGGTGTCCACAGTTGAATACCCCCAAACCCATCCAAACCCTTCAACCTTGCTTTGGCTCTCTCACGTGAGTATATTCCTCACTGGGGTTGATCGCCTGGGGCCCCTTTGCCAAACCTCCGCCTCCACCAGCCGTTCCCGCTGGACCAGATCTTGGCCTTTTGCTGTGTGGTGGCCGTGAACCAATGGTCGGGGAACTCGAGGGTGTCCGTGCCGGGATGAACCTCCCGTCGTTCCGGGTCGACTCTGTCGAAGCAAAGGATCGCCATCGAACGGAAGAACTGTTTCGGGGCGGAGGACCACCCACCATGCCCGGCCTGGCGGCGGGGTTTAGGGTTTAGAGAGTCACTTCACGACTCCAGAACCGGTCCGACCTGGGAGACGTTGCAGGAAGACATGTTTTTTGGAGGGATGGACTTGATTTGAGGCCACGGAGGCCACTCTGAGCTGCTTTTTGGAGCTCGAGGCTCTTCAAGTGTTGTTCCAATTGAAGGTCTTGAGTGATTTTCGATTGCCAAGTGGTGCCTCCAGCGACCTTCCACTTGCTGTGCGGCTCAGTCAGTTTTCTCACCCTCCTTGGCGCGGTTCGCGGCTGCCGGTGTGAAAGCCGAGGTACCAGTCCGCCTTCACAGGCTGGGAAGAGCACGTGGCACGGGACGACTGTGGAGTGAAGACCCACCTGTTTGCTGGTGAAATGATGGTCATGTCATGGTCATCCGAAGAAACGGGGCCATGTTGGTTTTAAGTCAAACACGGATGCTTTCAGGGTGAGTGTAGTTACACCATCCTGGCCCGGAACCTTCCATCGGACTTTTCACTAAACGACGAAAGAAGGTGTTGCGGTTCTATTCCACCTGGCCCCTCCGGAGGAGCCTGGCCCCTCCGCAGGTGACGTTCCCTCCCTCCTTTCCAAAGCTTGTCGGGGTCGAGGTGGCTTGGGGCGGTAAGGGTTGGTTTTGAGGTGACTGTGCCGTTGGATTGTTTTACCTTCCTTTGTCGTGCAGGTTTTTGCCACCGGGATGTTTTTTGTTGATCTGCAGCTTAAACTCCCTTGCACAAATCTTGCTGGATGCAGGTTGCGGGTTCTTCATACAAGGCCCGCTCCAATCCAAAAGCCCAGCAAAGGATGGTGTCGTGTGCTGTGTTGCCCTGGCCCCGTGGAGCCCAGAAGATTCCACGGAAACACGGATTCCCCAATCCAAACAGCCCAAGATGTGTGAAATGATCGGATTTATATGGATTTATGTCCATTCCTACCAGCTGCTGCATAGCTTCAAGGCATATCATATATAACTCTTCTATGTCTCCCAACTTTTTCGACCCACCAAGCAGACCACCTTCCGGGTCGTCCAACCTGTTTTCCGGGCTTCCCGGCCGCGTGCAGGTGCTCCGAGTGGCGTCACTTCAGCGAGGAGTTTGGAGAGTCGAGTCGAATGCTCGGAGAATCATTCTCCACTAGTAGCTTCTTAGCTCCTATAGTAGTAAGGCCAGGATGCCCGGGTTCCTAGTAGCGATGCCAGGAGCCCCGAACGTAGCTTCTTGCTCCGTTCGTAGCGATGGCATTTGGGCCATTTGGGGTCGAAGACTTCGAAGACCCCTGACCTGCGTGGTAGACCCATTCAGTCGACCCTCTGGGTGCTTCAGGTCCCTGAGGGGGTTTGACCGAAAAATCTTCAAATGTCTTCGAGATCGCGAAGTCCATCTATTTGGGGCAGCTGAAGAACTTGACTCAAAGTTTTGATGTGACTATTTTGAACGTCTGCACTATTCCAGAGTTGCTAGGGGTATTCTTCAGTTCCTCATCTGCAGCCTCAATTGCCTCCAGACGCGCATGGTCGATGCCACGGCATCGTGGACGTGTCACTTGCGCCCTCATCACTGCCATGGCTGTGCGCAGTATGCAAAGCACACTTCATATGCCAAGCCGCGGCTACGGGCCAACGCTCAACGCCCATACCGTGCCCACGGTCCACGCCAATGCCTCACCGTGGGAGGCCGGGAGCTCGCTCTTCCGTGCGAGCTCGTTGAGCGATTGGCTGCGCCCCGAGGCAGCAGCCTTTCCGGGCTTGCACCTGCCACGCCGGCCTTCTTGGCCCAACTATCAAGTGGAGATTGACCAAGTCCAGGGCGACTTCCGGGCAGAGGGGGACTTTGGGGCGCTGGAAACGACCGTTTCGAAGGTCGAGGGTGGCTCGGGCTGGGATTTCGAGCTACTCGGATTTGCAGGGGGGAGACAGGGTGGATCACGGTGGCATGGGGCATGTGTGGGACCCTGTGGGTCCCAGAGAACTCGGTGGCTCATTTTGGGGCGTGGCAAGGCTGACAAGGGTGAAGATACACTGATTTGTGAGGTGTTGACTGTTGTTGATATGTGTTGACCCGCATCCACATCGGTTGGCTTCGCGGGACATCAGTGACCATTGACCCTACGACTTGTTCGCTTCTCAGAGTTGCCTAGGCAAGCGGCCGATGACCTTCTTGGCCGTGCCAAGTTGCCCCAGGACAGTGGCTGATGCCAGAGGCTCTTTTGAAAGTCAGTATTATTCAACCAGACATGAACAGTGGAAGGCTTTCTTTCTTGTCTTTTTCGGGCTAGGACCTCTTGTCCATCATAAAGGATGATATTTGCCAATTTGGCAGCACTGTGGCCTCCTTGTGCCCTTGGAGCAAGAGCTTTATTGTGACACTTGGCGATGTCGAGTCGTCCGATGTTCTTTTATCGCTCCACTCGGTCACCCCGTCATTGCGACATGCGACCTGCGCCACGCCCCACCCCGTTTTGTGTCCTGATTTCCAATGTTGAAGGAAATTGGAGCTCATGGGAGAGGATTCATGCCCTCGCTGGCACATGGATAGCTACTGCGGAAGGGGGGATCGTGACTTATAATTTGGCCGGCACTGAATATGCGACGGATGCTGCTTGGCACGAAAAAAACAGAAGACGTGTATCTTTCAGAAGATTGAAACTCCCGAACTCCATCCTTCTTGCAGAGAAAATGACGCCTCCATTGCGACAAATTTCAGAGAAAACCACTTTTTTTTTTCCTCGATTTGCCTTCAGGACATTGTGGACTTTTGGGAATTGGAGCATTGCGGCACCTTTGATGTTTGAAACCGGTGAAACACGCCTGTGGAAATCGCTGTGTTCTCGTTGACTCATCGACTCGATGACTCCACCGGGGCGGTTGAAAAGGGGTCGTATGGAGTGTGGCATGGTTTCCAAGTCCCATGGGAGTGTCTGGGCTGCTAAATCTGCCGAACATTTGGCAAGCTAGCTGAGGCAACAATGACTGTATCATCAAGGACAAGTCCAAAATTCGCCAGGTGAATGTGGGTGACCTGCTTTTCATGAAGGGAAAGAACTTCCCCGGAGGCAGAGGCTTAGTTCACAGATCACCCGATGTTCAATATCAGAATGGCGCTGTGTTGAATCGCTTGGTGTTGAAAGTGGACGTGCCATGAGTGGCCGGTTTTGTTTTTCTTGTATTTGTTTCCAGTCCAAGGGTCCGGAAGCTTGCTTTTTGTACAGGTCAGTCGTAAAGGTCGGCTGTGCATCGCAATCTGCATGCGAAGGACTTGGCATGGTTGTTTCGCCAAGTCCGACTGCCCAAGTCTTCTTGCAGTTCCCGGTGAACTAAATATGATATGAATCCTAGTTCATGTCCAGTTCATCCTCCGCGCTTATCATAGCCTTGAGGCAACTGCAAGTCGCAGCAGGCGTTCTCTTCTAGGGGTGGTTTCCTTACCGTTCCAACAACGGAACGGTCGCAGCGCGCAGTGCAACGGCTGCGCCTGCGCGGGAGGACCTGTGGGGTGATGGTTTGTGCCTCTCAAGCAAGACCTCTTTAGGGTCTTCAAAGCAGGAGATATAGCATCTTGGAGTGTGCATTCCTCCACAGGTCCTGTAAAGCAAGCAATTTTAGGGCACCTTTTTCGCCCAAATGCAAGGGACCAAGAACACCGTCCAGACCAAAAAGACAAAAGTGATTTCTGTGTTTTTTTTTGTTTTTTAAGCTTCGACTTGAGTTGCCTTGAATGAATGGTTCAGTGGGGGATTTAATCCGGAAGGATCATCTGCCTATTTCCCTGGGATCTGATGCCCGGTCGCCGACGACGCCTGCGACCATGACCAACATGCTTTGGAATCCTGGTTTTGTAATGTCAAATCCAGAGTAAACCAGATTGTTTATTCCTGGATGGGCCCGTAAATCCATGGTGACCTGGATGAATCCTTAGGGTCTCGTGTCTGAGCCCCACACGTTTTCGACGGCATCGAACACGCGCGACCAACGAGCCGCAGGACAGCGACACCGTTGCGCGCCACGTCGGGGGGGCACGGCTGGACATGGGGAGGGTGACTTGAAGACAGATGGTTCGGATGCAAGCCAAGCAGATGAAATGACACCTGGAACGAGCAAGGACTTTTTCTCACGTGAGGACCAATTCATGACTCCTTGCAAGCCAAGCAGTTTTAACTGGTTTCGAGATGTGGTGATTTAATCTCGATGCATCCAGTTTCACAGCCAGAATGATCCAGAAACTCGATGACACCCAGAACGACTCAGAACGACTGGGGGCCTAAGTTCGGTTCTCACCATCTTTCGACCTTTCAAGGTGTGCCTTTGGTATGGGAACTTCTCCAAGCAGCGCTCCACTTCTGGTTGGAGGGTCACCTTTCCACTCAAAGGTCAAGCTTTAGCCTTAGTTGGGCATTGGTTTTTTCCACTCACATTCAAGAGGCGGTTTTTCAAGTTACCCATTTCATGGCCCGCTTGTCACTCTTCATCCAGTTCGTGTTGAAAGTTTGTAGTCTCATTAACTGTGTGGATGGTGCAACGGGGGGGTTCGTGCAACGGTGATGTTCGGTCTAAATCTCCCGGCGAAGAAACGCGTCACGTGACATGAGGGAGTCACCTCCTAGGTGATTCAATGATCCTTTACGGGTCCGTGCGAGAGGAGATTCGGCCCGGTTCTTTCTTTTAACTTTTCTCCCCCCCAAAGAAACTGGCATTTAACCAGGACCTGGTTACCTTAAACACGACTAGGTTATCTTAACCACGAGAGGTCTGCCAAACCACGACCCCAAACAGTTGGAATTCAAGACGTTGACGCCAAGAAACACATGCTGAAACTGTTTGAGGTCCATGCTGGCATCATCAACCCTTCTTTTCGGGAGGGGGTAGTTCACCCACCCGCCGGTGACCGGCCCGGGCGGGTGTGGCATCGGTCGCTAAGCCGACAAGGCCTAAGTAAGCGTGACCGAAGCAACTAGGAGATCAAGTACGGTCACTGGGAAGAACCAGCCAGGTGTTCTTTCTTAAATCTGAAAAACCTGGATCTTCCAAATCGAGTTGATGGCACGAAGAGAACCCCCCAGCCATCATCCCACATCACTGGCTGCTCGTCTCATGGCTGTCTTGGCTTCCCAAAAAGCAGGTGGTTTGTCCTTTTCCTTCGGTGTTTCCCGGATGTCGTGTCACTGTTGGCGTTTCCCCCACGGGGAAACCCCTGTCCACACCTCCTGTGAGGCCAGTACAGGATGTGCCGGCACCCAGAAAACTCTGGGCCGATGCGGAGCTGCCGGACTTGGGGACTCAGCCATCTGGTGCATGAGAATTTTGTGGGAAAGTCTGATCATTTTGATTTAATTTCTTGACCATTTCGGAGTCATTTCGACATACTTGCTCCAAGTATGTCGAAGTTGCAGTGGTTGTTGGTGGGATCATCAGCAAGATCTCACTTTCGACCCGGCATCACTTTCTCGTTGTGCTGCACCGACCCTGAAACCTGCGCGTTGCACTTCCCATACTGCATGGTCTCGTGGCATTTGGCTCTGGACTTGCCCGGCAGCGGGTGTCCCAACCGGTCGTTTTCCCAGAAGCGCAGGCTCGTGGCGCGCACCATCCCAGCAGGACCCGGCAACACCCAAAGATCGTTGAGAAGATATATAGACTCTGAGGTGTTCTTGCGTTTCTTCTACACCATGCCCAGCGACTATAAAGAATGAATGGCAGTCAGATTGGACTTCCTGACAGCCTGACATCTATATTATATCTCATGCCAGAAATCAGCAAGCACAGGAACAGAGAATGGACTGTCAATGATAGTCAGTCTCAGGTGTGTCCCTAAGGAGGTTCTTTCAGTCCAACTCTGAAAAGCAGACTCCTCCTGCGCCATCTGCCATCTTCCTGGCTGCGAAGGACCATGGCGTCCATGCCAGCAGAGGAGCTCTCTCCGGAACAGAAGGCGGGCGGGCAGGACACTGAAGGGGTGCTCCACTCCCGCCCCCCCAAGGTCTCCGGAGCGGAGCCTGGTGGAACCAGACCGGACTGGTGTTCTTCCCCCCCAACCAGGGACCGGCCCAAAGGATAGGTGCTCCAGCGGGGGCGTAGAGGCTGCTGTCCAGCATTCGTCCGATCTCTTAGTGCTAAGCAGGTCGCAGACAATGACCTGTTGGGAGGTAACCGCTTTCCTTCCGCTTCCTTCTGCCCGCACCCGCACCCGTTGCGAAAGCCTCCTTCTAAAAGCGGGTGGCAGGATGAACTGCTCTGCACCTATGCCGCCCTGGTGCTCCACGATGATGGCGCTGAGATTACGCCCCAAGCCATGACCAACCTCATCAAGGTGACCACCCGGCGACACGGGTGCCGGGCGACACGGGTGTCGGAGCGGGGGTGTTTTCGTGGCAGCGGTTTCCGGTGCGGGGGTGCTACTTGCGAAGGGTTCCAAAGGACTTCGGCCACGGGTTACTGGGAGGCTTGGTGTGGGTCGGAAGTCGGGTGTTTTGATGTCTTTCGATGGGTATGGTGTCTTGGGAGGAGCAACCTGGCTCCCAAAGTAGCTCTTTTGAGCCCATGACAGTGAAGGCCAAGTGGCGAAACCTCGAAAAAAACCAACACGTGGGAAGATTCACATGGAAGCTGATGGGGATGGACCAGACTGGAAGACTAGCTAGCTTTCACCTTCTGCACAGGCTCCGTGGTTCTCAGGTTCCATGTGAGGCTCTCGGAACCAGGGTGGGCGAGGATCCGCTGATCTCGACTGCTGGGCGCAAGAAAAGGGCAAGTCCCGTTTGTCCCGTCCCGTTTGTCCCGTTGGTCTTCTGAAGCAAGTTAGGCTTTTCCAAAATCCTCCACCCTGAAGCGAATTGAGACCTCCCCGAAACGACACAATTCACCGCAAATGATCCGCCAAGTGTCGGTGGCTCAAGTTTCTTTGACAACCTGTTGCTGTTGGACCCCCTTGACCAGGCTAGACCATGCTAGGCCTCTTAGGTTGCTTTTGATGGGTTTCCTTGGTTTTCCTGCACACAGCTCTGAGGCCACCCATCCTGGCACTATGGGTGAATATTCCTTTTTCTGGATTTTCTGGGAAGCAAAGGACGCGACTAGGGGCTCCTGGCATCGCTACTAGTAACAAGGGCCTTACTACTAGGAACAAGAAGCTAGTATAGTAGTAACAAGGGCCTTACTACTAGGAACAAGAAGCTAGTAGAGACAATTTATGTTTCATATGTTTTCCCATTCCTGAAGCGAATTCTGTCGGGCGACATGGGGTCGGCACCGCAGCGCTTGAAGCACCTTGACTGCCCGTGTGACCCACCCGAACAGGTCCCGGGTGTTGTGTCAAGGATGTACAGTCAGTTGCGCATAGATCCGAATCTCCGCACTCAGCTTCAAGCTCATCTTCCAGGCTGCCGGCTGCTCAGTGGAGGCCTACTGGCCCTTGCTGATGGTCCGGACCTCGACTTTCGCGGCTCGCGGGTGGTCGTTCACGGAGAGCGGCCGGTCGTGTCGTTCACATCGGAGGCAGAGTGCGTGGGATGGTCTTTTTTGGGGAGCGCAGGTGTGTTTGGGACAGAACGAGGAAGTATGTGCAGGCAAGGATGGGAAGCTGGAGAGAGTTCACAGAATTCCTAGAGTGGGTCAGCTAGGCTTCGTGTTTTTTTTGGGGGGGATGTTCTAAATGGTGATTCCAGCTTCAAAGCGGAACCCAGGGCCTCCCTGGGTTCGGAACTCTGCAGGGTTGCTACATGCAGAGCAGCTAGGGTCATAGGTCAAATTCAAAGATGAGGCGAAGATGATCAAGAACGTGGGCATGGAGACTCTCATCAAGCGTGGAGGCCCAGTTGAGGCCAAACCTGCACGAATTTGCCGACGAAGACATCACATGGAAGTGGAACACCGACCTGTTCTTCCAGGAACCCAGGGTCCACCTCGATGTTCGCTATGTTCGCGAGTGTAGAGTGTAGAGGATGCTCGAAGCGTCGGAAACTCGTGAAGCGACTCAAGGACCTTCAAGGCTCTTCACCCTGGGTGTCCTCCAAGAGTTTCGATGGGCAGAAAGTCTTGGACTCTTCCTCAAAGCACCCAGCCTTTGGAGGCCATCGCTCTTAGGTTGGAGGCCATCGCTCTTGGGTAGGGGGGAGGCCATGGCTAGTAGGGGGGGAGGCCATGGCTATATAGTAGTTTAGGTTCCAGCAGTTCGTTTTCACTCCCAACTGGTCGGCTTTGGATGTGGATGAGCAGGACGAGAAGGGACTGGCTGGGTCAAGGAAGCAGGTGGGAACGGTAGGAACGCGGTCAGGTCGGGTGACCAAGAAGGAGGTCATCCAAGCGGTTGATAGTAGCAGTGGTTGAACTGTGTCCACCAGTTGAACTGTGGGGGGTTAGATTTTGGACACTTCGCCACTTAGAAAGATGAGTGGATGAAGGACATTCCACGTCGTTCTCTTGCGGAGAAGACTTAAGACTTATACCCATAGGATTTGGTGCACAGATCTTCCTGTCTGCAGGTTAAAGACAGGGAGACCTGTGCCTTTCTCTTCAACCTGAAGGTTCTCATGCCGCATGACCACCAGCTTCTTTAAGCCCAGGCTCGGCAGCGGTGCTGGCGGCGGCGGCGGGGGCGGTGGCGGTGGCGCTGCCGCGGGCGGCGGTGGCGGTGGCGGCGGCGGCGGCGGTGGCGCTGCTGAGGAGGAGAAGAAGAAGGTGAGGAGAGCGTGGGAGACAGGGAGGGAAAAACAGATTCACAGACATGGATGGTCAACTTGAGTGTACTCTTGTTTGACGCTTGTCTCCACACCCGGCACGTTTTCGTGTTCCGTTTTGAACAGCCAGATGGGCAGGGTTTGGAATTGCCAATGTGAGCACCTAGGAGTGAATATATATATATATATATCCCGTAAAAATTGAAATAACCCTCTAAAAGCTTTTGGATTGTAACACCTCTTCTACCACCCTGGTTTTATTACTCGAGAGTCGTCTGCAGATTTCCTGTCTGTTCTCTTCATCTAGCGAACTCTCGGGGTACCGGTGTTGCTGGTGTTGAGAGTCGTCGCAGCTGCTCCACGCATCGCACGACAGGTCGAAGAAGAGGAGGAAGAGGAGGACATGGAATTCGACCTCTTTGGCTAGGCCGTCACCGTCGGTGTGGCGCGTCCCTCGTTCGAACGCGTCGCTTTTGGTCTTCACCGGCGCCCTTCGCGGGTGAAGCCTTTCCGATCGGCGGAACTTCGGTTTCCGGTGGGGGGTTGGAAGGACGGAGAGGACCTTGTTTTTTGAGGGAGCGTCTGAGTACCTCGAAGCTCAATGAGCCATTCTTTTTTTGGAAAAGGCACTCCTAAAGACGGCCAAAGCTCCTCTGAAATCAGGGGTCAAGACGGGCAGAAGTTCGAGGTATGGAGGGGTCAAAAACATCTGGCCGTGGATCAAAACCTTTTGTTTTTTCCCACTGAACATGAACAGAATTGAACAGAGTTTAGGCCCAGTTTAGGCCCTAGACTACACCCCACCATGGTTTGGGGCTCCGGTTTTGGACCCACAGCCATGCCTTAGCCATGCCCAAGACCATTTAAACATGGTTGACCCACCTGAGTAAAACAATGGTTGTTTGGAGTTCAGACCATCAAAACCATGGAGTTCCAGGAATCCCAGGAGACGTTTTCACTCATTGGAACTGTCCAGACTGTGGGGGCCTCGAGCGGTGCAGTCCGGACTCTGATGGACGCCCCGGTGACTCACTGCTAGCAAGGAGCATCAGGAGTCGTGGCCCACCATTATAGCCATGTGGCCCGAATCCCGAAGAACCCTTGTTTTGCTGAGGGTTTTGCACTACCATTTTAAAGATGGTCTTGGACTTGCAGGATCTCGTTTGTACCTGTTTCTTGATGTTTCAACCACAGAACCAGACCCTTTCCTGTTGTGTCGTGGACCCTGAAGGCGAAAAACCCTTGTTTTCAGAGGAACAGACGAAGAAACATGCTGTCACGAATCGTTCTGCTGATGTTTCGATCTACCATTCACCCCCTGCCAATCGTGGTTCTACATCACCTCAGGAGGGTTTGATCTTCATCAACAACCCTAAACCATCCTAAACCCTAAACCCACAAACCTAGGTCACTCACCCCCCCCTCTCCGAGTCCGAGCGACGGTCTTGGGTCCACCTTCTTCGGTCATTCAGGTGTCGACGGCCGACTGGGGAGGAGGAACGACCGAAAAGGAGGGGCGCTGAGCCAGTCGTGCCCGCTGTGAGGGCGGTATGTTTCGGTGTGGTGTTGGAGGATGTTTGGGTGTGGTCAAAATCCACCCTGATGCAATGCGAGCAACCACATATTTGTATTAGGTTCCTGTTGCTCTTAGGTTGGAGGCCATTGGAAGTAGGTTAGAGGCCATCGCTCCTGGGTGGGAGGCCATCGCGGGGGAGGCCATTGCTATTAGGTTCCTTTTGCTCTTAGGTCCTAGGTTATAGAGCTCCCCTCCGGTGGGTTTTTTGGGTAAGTATTTTGCTGCGGGCGAGCGAAATGGCTCCAGCTATATAATTGGGTCGAGCATGTCATGGTATTGTAGAGAATAGGGGTGTGGACTGTGTAGATACTAGTAAATATTGCATCTATATAGTCATACATATATATATATATACACATGACACATCCCAAGACAGATCGAACCATCCAATCCAAGACTCTGCAGGAATGCGGAACACCATGTGAATCTCCGTTCCTCCCACCGGAAGCGAATCACATCGTCCGAGTGTTGATCTTAAAGACTAGGACTGGGCACTGGATCTTGGAGGGTTCCAGGTCAACTTCCCGTTCATCCAATTCTCGGCCTGCGGAGTCCGGAGTTGGCTTCATACTTGGCCATATACTTCCACCAGAAGATCAAGAAGCAGAAACCTTCTTCTTCGGCTCAGAACTCCTTCGAATCGGTCCGGCCTTTGGGCCCCCGAAATTCAAAGGAAGTTCCCTTAGTCTGATTCATTTCGGATCTTCAAGTCAGATCATTCTGAACATGGGGAGACCTCCACCCCCTTCCAGGCAGGGCAGACGTAGACTGGCCCGATGGTCCGAATCGAACCGGGCAAAGGGTCTCGAACGCCGACCGGTGTCGGTCTCCCTATTTTACTATTACTAGGATCTTCGAGTTTTGAGTCATCTCAACTTTCAACCAAAAACACAGGCAGGGTGAGAAAACGAGGTTTGAACTTGCCCTATTCTCCTTGTAAGTTAAGAAGTCTTGGACTTCGATCTTTGCTTTTCTGCGGGTCTGAAAAAAAGAACGGCGCGGGAACGGCGCGGTGCGGGACCCACTGCAGATGGCCCCGCAGACCCAAGAAAAAGGGTCAAATCGGTGAAACCGGTGATTTTCGAGGGATTCCTGAGAAGGACTTCAAGCAACACTTCCAAATCTGCGAACATTTATTCGCGTGACTTCCGCTGCCTTCGAGCGCAGAGCGTGAGTGAACTGCTGTGGTTTCCCAAGGTGCAAGCCGCCGCCGCGGCAGCGGGCACTGCGGCGGCACGAAAGGAAGTGAGGCGGGAAAGGATCGGGGTGCCTTGCTTCCAAGCAGTACTGTAAGACTCCAGAAAAGGGGTCATCAGAATGAGAAACCGCTTTTTGGTTCTTTTTTTTCTGCCGGAAAGCTTGGATTGGTGTGTGTGACGTGATCCAGTTCCATGTTTGTTCGAGGGTAAGGCTCAGGGAAGGTAGCCTTTGGAGGTGGCTCATGCCATCCACCCTTTTGGGCTTTGGTTCAGAAACGAGCGCCATGGACACTTCTAGCGCAGTCAGGTGGATCTATATTAGCAGATGTGGGATATACCAGACTGCAGAGTGGATATGAGCAGTAGACTCAGTAGATGTTCTATGAACAGAGGTTGGATGCGCATTCTTGGGATATACTTTTGGACACTTGTTTCATCTACTCGATCCACCATGCGGCAGACCGACCCCGCTGGATCCCGACTCCTCTCCGGCCAGTCCAGGCTCCGACTCCTCTCGGCTGCCGCTGCCACCTGCTTCTGGGTGTAAAGAGTGGACGAAAAAGCAGGAGAAACACCCACAGCTGGATCGACTCCTGGAACAACGTGAAAGGAAGTAGGAACAAAGAGGAGTCCTGCCTACCCCTGGGGCGCCCTTTTTTTCGGTCACCACTTCGAAAAAGACGAGTCAAAGGAAGTCAACAGCAGTCAAAACTTGGAAAGCGACCAATTGGGATGGAACCTCTGGGGACTTGGCAAGTGGGGGTGTTTCGGGGAAGCGATTCCTAAATCCAACGGGAACCCAGAAGGTATACAGATCTATTCAATGAAACTATTGAGGCACCCGGTATGGTTTGTGATAAGCTTGAGTAGGTGCCCTGCATGATCACCTGCAAAACGCGCTGGTTGTGCAGAGTTCAACGGAGGGTGAACATCTCGACCAATCGACTGCCACTAGCATGGAAGTGGAACATAAGTGATGGGAAGACGATTTCCTTCAGTTAGGGACACTTATTATCACTTTACCAACTACGTCCGCTTCACTTGTCCGTTGCAAACCAGCTCTCCGTCACTTACATAGTGAGTCGGAATGTACTTGTGATCAAAGACCAGGGGCACCTGGATGGCTCCTTGCAGTAGAGGCTGAGGTGAAACTGGAATCGACCGATCAGAGTTCGCTTGCAGGCAGTACATCATGGGATACCCTGCTGAAGACTGAGGAAAGCACTCTTTTAGGGCCATTCTCACGGAATCTCACGGAACAGCAACACATCGAGTGTCGAACCAGCAGCAACCCGCCGGCCTCCGCCCTTGTGCCCTGACGCTTTTTTCAAGATTCTAGGCCGCGGCCAGTGTGGGAGTGACGTGGCGAAGGAAGGACTGGCCTCCGTGTGCCGGCCTCGTGGCTGTCCGGTAGGTCGGACACGGTCCGGGAGAAAACGGCCGTGCCACGGCCTTGGGCTGAACTCGAAGTCTCTGGGCCCTAGAAGTCCAAAGACTATATTTTGACCGGCTGGAGTAAAGGAAGTTCCCTTTCAGTTCCCCTAAAGACCATTCTTTTTATAGTCTTTGACTCCCAGGGTGGGGCTTCGAGCGGTTCGAGCTGAACGGGTGCGAAGAAGCCTTCGGGCCCGAACTGGTGAACCGAGCTGCAGCTGGTCGTCCAAGTGGCATCCGAGCGACTGAGCGGGGCGAATGGAACGCATGGAATGAGCAGACGCAGAGATACCAAGGGACAGATGAAATGCTGCCAGATGGAAGAAATCCAACTGTTGATGACTTCTCCGGATGGAACTTGTAATTATTCAAACTATTCAGTAACTATTCCGTATTGGATCATTCTTGGACCTGGTTTTCAACACGTTTGAGGCAACAAACAACCTTTTAATGGATCCCACCATCTATGCACCTTGAAAAACCCTTGTTTTTTGTTTCTCGCCTTTCATCCAGGAGCACTGCAGTTGGTGAAAGCCATGGAGGCCTTGAACCCAACGCTGGAGCCGGCGAAGCAACAAGGCCGACTCCGGGCGGGCTACGCGAGAATCTGGAGTCCAAATACCACCTTGGAGTGTAAAGCTTAGTAAAACAACCGTTGTTCGAGATTCGAATCCTGGGCATCCTTCTTTCGTCTTTTCTTCTTCCGGGGAAGGAGGCAAACATTTCCAGGCGAGTTGGTGAGTTGGTGCCAGAAAAAAGGGAAGGATGAACACGAACCATTGAGCGCCGACCGAGTGAGTTCAGCCCGAGTTCAGCCCTGGCCCGTCACATGGACCGCCGAAAGAACCGAAAGAAGGACGGTACGAGCGGTCTCCGCCCCTGGAGGCTTCCTAGAGGGCACCTGGCGTCTGATCTACGCCTCGGAGGACGTGAATCTGGCCTTGGAACGGCTCCGTGTTGGCCTTGGAAGCTGAAGAATACTTGGGAATCGAGGAGCTTTTTTCACGGAGATCTTTTTGCAGTTCCAAAGACTGCAGCGACTCTTCGAAGATTTGCAGAGTGACATTGGTCGTTTCGTCGCTGCCAATTCGCCTGTTCGAAGATTCGCAGATTCCACGGATCCCTACAAGTCCAACGACCCAGTAAAACCTGGTCTTTTACCTCCTTAAGTATTGGTTTTGTATGACCATCTCCAGTAAAATGAGGTCTTTGACTTGTAGGAGATGGTGTTTTTACTGCCCGACGGCAGTGAGTTCTTTTTTTCTTTTGCGACGACCGTCCAACTGCTTCCCGCAAGAGTTGGGTTGGGAGAAGAGGCCTGAAGAACCGTGGTGAACCGTCCATCGATCTGTAGAGACCCTTACACTCCCAACTGACTAACATGGAAGTGGATGGCATGGGCCCCTGGAAGACTACTTTTCTCTACAAGCAGGTCGTTTTGCACTTCCATGTTAGTGAGTTGGAGTGTATCTACTTTTCCCCTTCTGTACCAGATCTGGTTGAGGCTTTGAGAGAGGTCCGCACTGCTGAACATGTTTATCTAGACGAAGATTAAAGCCGAGCCCCGAGTTCCAATGGAACGAGGCTCAACAGCAGGGTCTACAGTAGAAGGTGGCAAAGCTTCCCACTTGGTTTAGTGCTCGTAGAAGTTCCTTGAAGGGGACTTGTTCCACGTTCTCATTGCTTCAATCCATTTCAATGGCCTTCATGACCAGGCAAGTCACCCCCCTTGGCTGTCAGGGGCGTGACGTCCTGGCAAGTGGGTGCCTTCCAAATAGCAACTGGGTGTTCGTCACGTCCAGGCGTTCGCTGACATAGACTCGAGTGACGTTCTTCCTCCCGTTCACTGGTGCTCCCCGTTCTGCGGGAATGACACATTTTAACAAGAGCTTTTGCGAGGTGGGATTTGCCGAGGTGGGATTAAGGTGCAAGACACCTGCGCCCTTGCCCAGCCGCGCTCGGTTCCACCTTTTTTTCACGTGTCGCCGCCGTCGTTGCACCGACACGAGACGACGCGGGCAGGACGTCACGCGGTCCTCGCCCTTCTTTTGGGGATGGAGACAGATGCTCCAGGTGATCGCCCTGGGGGGCGGTGGGGCGTGGAGAAGGGGTGGTTCGAAGGGGCGGTTCGGGAATTCCTTCGAATTCCATGGGCCTATCAGGATGAATTTCGAGGTCTTTCTTTCGATCACTGCGTTCAAGAACTGTAATTAGGCCTGGAACCCCAAACAACCAGAGATGGATGTTTCCCCAGTCCCAGCCATTTCCTATGTAAAGGATCTCAATATGTCTCAATTGGAACAACCATTTCTTTCTGGCTGATCCGGATGTATTGTTTCTCGATGTTTCTTCAAGTACGCCCCGTACACATTCCCCCTTTCACCGTGTCGAGTTTCGGTGTTTGGCATGCATGGGCCACACTCCACCGTTCCATCCTTCTATAGAGGGGGGGAGCCTCCCGGGTTTCTACTGGTTTTCAGGTGTTCATTGGGCTGGGGGTTGTGGGCATTGCTTACCAAGTCAGTGAAAAACCAGGAACAGCACAGGAAAGCTCCTCGGGATCTTGAAGTGCCCCCCAAATCAATCACATATTTCACGGCTGTGATGCAAACCGCATCATCCACGGGAACGCGCGGAGCGAACCAGGCACGTGTGTCTTGGGACCTCTACGCAATGAAGGACTCGTCCGTCCCGCATCCCCCCCCCGTTCACTATGTTAGGAAGGAGAACTCCAGATGCAAGGCCGCAGACTGCGAAGGCTTTGTACACGAAGATTAGCTCCAACAGAGAGGAACGAAGCAAGAGGGGGGTTTCCCCACTAGTGCATGGTCCTCCCCACCTATCCGAAAACTCTTCGGAAAGGCACCTCCGTTTCGCGCGCGGTGTGCGCGGTGGCTCTGAGGGCGTCCCAGACCCTTCGCCCGTGACACGGTCGTTGCTGGGGACACAGGAGCCGTTGGGGGGGGAGCGTGTCGGTAGGAGCTTGGTTTGGTGGGACGTGCTGATCGGTAGGAGCTTGGTTTGGTGGGAGCTTGGTTTGGTGTCGGTTGATTAACAGTGGTTGGGGATGTGTTGATCCGTGGATCCCAAGCTGTTTGGAGGTAGATTCATGGACCTAGCAACTGTCAGCAATTCACACCTTCTTTTGAATAGCCATCAACACCAAAGGGCATTTCGGTCAGGTCGCTTAGGTCAGGTGCTTTCTCTTCGTCCACGACAAGACCTGCATGGATGTTGGAAGATTGGTGTGTCGGGCCTCTCTCCTCAGGGCTTATGTTCAACCTTCAATGTTCCTCTCAATGTTGGAGCCCACCGATCAAGTTCTTAATGCAATTCTTCGCAGAGTCTGGAGAGGGGCGCTCGCGAGGCGAACGAAGCCCCATCGCCCCAGGTTTTTTTGAACCTTTCACCAGGGTTCCCAGGTTGAAAGACCCACAGCATATGGCTGGAATCTTGGCATGTTGGTGATTTGAGGTTTCGATGTATGCCAATCTTCCACCAAGCGACTGGGTGGTCGATGTAACCAACATCCAGAATCAGCCGAATAGTTCAACCAAGCAATCTTCTACAGAGCCCATGTCCCATGAATTGCCAACAACTTGATCAGCAGGAATATAGCCAAAAGATGTGGTAGTTGTAGTCGCAGTAAGTCACATCTTTGGGTTTGTTTGAGTGCTACGAGTTCGGGTTCGAGGAATTTCATCTCACCTGAAATTCAACAGTTGAAGAGCAGCAATTCTTCTCACCTCACCTTTCACGGTGCTTCTCTTCAGCTGTGAGAAGAGGACTTCCAACTTCCAAGCGAACGGATGATGCGTTCGCGTCATCACACGACCCGCTCACCACCCTTCATCCTCACTCAGCTCGGGGCCTGTCAGGAGCTGTCAGAGTCCATCTTCGCCATCACTGATGGCCCGAGGGGGAGCGGAGGGGGAGCAGGACGGCTTTAGGCCGTTTGGCCCTTTGGTGTGTCAATGCACCAGGCCGCGATGTATGATCAAGGACCCCGTAAGATTTTTGTTGGGCCACACTGATCTTTGGTTGATGGTTTCAAATCTAGTTGATGGTTTATGGTTGATGGTTGATGATTGCAAGATTTTGTGGTTGATGGTTTCAAATCCATTTGGAAGTGTTCGGAGAGTAGATTGATTCATGGATTCTCACGCTTCTCACGCATGCCGTGCTGAATTGGAAGCACAGAAGAAGCGCATTAACATAGATGGGGATTCCGGCTGGAACCAGCTTCCGGAATAGCACCTGCCTGCATTTACCTGATCTTTGGATCAAACCATGCGGATGTCTTCGAATCACATACAGCAGGTCGTGACATGCAGATCTTGGGAGCAACTCACTACCTTTAGTGAAGCATCTTCTGGGATGGTGTACGATACGCATCGATACGCACCATATTTTTTCCCAAAGGATTCCAAGCTCCTCAACCCCAGTGGACTTACAGTCCCTTGCCTTTCGCTCGGCGTCAGAGTTCGCGCGTCGATGAACCCGGTGAGGCATTCCGCTGAAGACGGTGGGCGAGGCCACCCAGACAATGGTCAACGGGAAGATGGTGAACCGGGTCGCCATCGAGGTGCGGTTAAGGTGTTTGAAGCGAAGGAAGCGGGACTGGACTTGCGAGATTTTGGGAGGTTGGAATCTGGCGCTAAGGGAGAATCCGTATTCAGGAGCACATGTACCAGAACACACAACAGATTGGTGGTTAGCAGAGATCACTGGACAGCCAAGGTCCAAGGTTCATCGAGAGCTTCTGAGAGCTTCTTAGCGTCTCCAAGTAGATAGCTCCATCTTCACAAACTTCTTGTTCTGTCCATGTAAAATAGTGCTTCCATTCCTGTCACCCCTTACGTATATCAGGGAGGCGGACTTCCCATCGGTAGCGATCTGATCTGGAGGCCGCGGATTCTTCGGGCTGTCTAGATCCCGACATGTGAATCATGCCTAGAGGCTTAGGTATACCGAGTTGGATCTCGACATGTCAACACGTTGCCTTTGGTGGGACCTTACTAGGAGCAAGGACGCTACGAACGGGGCTCCTGGCATCGCTACTAGGGGCTCCTGGCCGTACTACTAGGAACAAGGACGCGACTCATTGCCCTTGGCGCCGTGCCATCCGAGATCAAGCCCATTTGCGTACGCAGGTCTTTGGGGCAGGAAGGACCATCATGACCACTACCAGCAGGCGTACGGTGGAGGGTTGTGGTCGGTGAGCAGGGACCACAGGAACATTGGATGGTACTCGATCTTGCAGCCATAGCCCAGTCAGCTATGTTTGCAAAGTACCCGTGTGGAAAAAATAGATCCTTCACCTGCATAGCAACCAAACATTGTTAAGACTGTGGATTTCTGTATGCCAAATGACCGAGAACTTCTTCCTGCAACAGTATGTTCCGGATGCGTTCCAGTTTCATGTCCGTCCTTTTTAGGAGGTCATATGAGCAGTTACAGCAGTGAACCGCAGATCAGTTGGCTTTCTGTTCCCAGGATTCATCCTACATGATCTGGCAAGATTCAGCCGAGGCTACCACTTATATGCACGGTTGGAAGAAGATAAACTGGCTGATAGCCTTGGTGGGTTTTTTCTCCTTCTCAACAGGTGCCATATGGGTGTGTATCTTAATAGGGCGACTCCAAACCAATGGATTTTGGTCTAACATGTTTTCTTCCAGGGGGTCTTTGAGAGGTCTCCCTATTTTGATACACCGATTCTCAACGACACGAGTCCGGGAAGATCCCCCTCCTCCTCGTTGGGACTCGTCCCGCGATCGACTCACCCCAGCTCTTCGATGCTTCACCGGCCGAAGGGTCCCGGTGATTCGAAGAAGACAGGGCCACCGTTGATGGGACTCACCTAGGACTCACAAGACCGTCACGTGGTCGGAAGCCAAGTCCCAAAAGGAAGGACCTTACCGACCAGACGGACGAGGGGGGGGACCGAAGATCGGGCCTCGAACCCCAAAATCCGAGATCTTCCACGTTTAAGTTCCCGTTTGGCTTTTGGTTGCCCGGACCTCCCCCGACGGGACGGGGGTGTTCCCTGTCTGGAGACGCTCTGGCCACCGTTGCGCCCGAACGGATGTCACTGGAAGAAGAGAGAACGATGAAAGCTTATTGTTACTAATAGCTTCTTGTTACTACTAGTAAGGCACTTGTTCCTAGTAGCTTAGCTTATTGTTACTAGTAGTAAGGCACTTGTTCCTAGTAGCGATGCACTTGTTACTAATAGCTTATTGTTACTAGTAGTAAGGCACTTGTTCCTAATAGCAAACATTGTTACTACTAGTAAGGCACTTGTTCCTAGTAGCTTAGCTTATTGTTACTAGTAGTAAGGCACTTGTTCCTAGTAGCGATGCACTTGTTACTAATAGCTTATTGTTACTAGTAGTAAGGCACTTGTTCCCAATAGCAAACATTGTTACTACTAGTAAGGCACCTGTTACTACTAGCGTGGCACTTGTTACTGTGCTCGAACGGATTGGACTCCGAGTTGCTTCGGCGGCACAGCTGCCATCTTTTTAATGGTGTTGGAAGCCTAGGGCATGGGACTGCCATATATGCATACATTGACCCCCCTGGCACCACCCCAATGTAGGCATATATGGTAGTCCCATTAGTCGTTGTCTGGGAGCTGTACTTCTTTCCATCTCCCAACATATCGGGGAGGTCAATGAGGTAAAGCCTTTTGCATCCACCGACCCCGACACCACAAAGGGCCATCAGGCGGGTGCGAAACCACGCCCATGGCATGTGGATCACTCGTGGAGATCCAGACATCGTTTGCCAAATTCGCCAAGACATTCTCTGCCAAACGCATTCGGATCTCTGCAGACCTTTCCACAACTCTGGAATGTCCTCCCAACGCGATGCGCGACCCCCCCGCGCCTCGGCCCCCGCCCCGCCCACCATGCCTCGCGGGGCAGGTACGAAGCCTCGCCGGATGGCTCCGAGCTGCTGTTGACGGTGGAGACCACCCAGGCAAACGAGCGGGGGGGAGCCCAGCAGCGCAGCCGGGGAGCAGCTGAGTCGGAGAACCGGGAGCTTTTTGGCCCAAACAGTGTGGTCACACTAGGAGTTCTTAAGAATTAAGGGTTGAGGCTGCACAAGTGGGCGGTGCTTTCATTGCCAGTTACAGCACATTCATTGCATTTCGACTGCGCAGGCTCAAACCAACTGGCTGGGCCGGACAAACTGGTGCTTCTACCTTTCGCTCTCCTCTCGTCGTAGTCCCGTGAACGGTGCTGGCCGTTTTGCCTTCGGTTTTCGTGGCAAGTGCAATTTCCGGTGCATCACTCTGGACTTGTTGGGTCTTTGGCGGCGTGGCGGTGCAGTGAAGACAGTGAACTTTGGACATGTGGCTCGTTTCTAGAAGTGTTGCGAAAGCTTGGTTCTGGCATCTCCAGCTTTTTGTGGAGAGCTCGTGGCAGATTTTGTGCCATAGCACTTTGTGAGCCCACGACTTTGTCGCAGGGGCAGCACTTTGTTGATCGCCAAGGGCGGATTTCGTGATGTTTCGTGCCAGGGACAGCGCGGTACAGGCGCACCGGGTTGTGTGGCTTTCGCGTTTCGGCGCAGCGCTTTGTGAACCGCACTGTGCAGATTTCGGTGCAGCAGGCTCATGTGGTTTCTCACATATATGTGCTGTCATGTGCGTGCTCTCATGGTTTTTGCTCGCATATGTATGCCGGTCCTTGTCCCGAGAGCAAGTTGGAAACGCCTGGCCCCGTCGGTGATGAAACCTCACTGCAGTCGACTGCACTTTGTGTTGTGGAGAACTTGGAGACTTTCGCATAGAAGGCACTTGAGACTCTTGAACTTGGAAACCTTGAGGATGCTTGGAAACTTAGGATCCTTCTGTACTAGTTACAGTAGGCCCTGTAGGCGTTTTCATTACCAAGGTTTCTTCAGGGATTGGAGCGATCAGATCGTACTTCTATCCCAAGTGTGTGTTCCAAGAGTTCTGAAGTTCGTCTATTCACCTTGTTCAACTTAACACTGTTTGGGTTCTCTTGGGGTGCCCTTACACCCGCTACAGGACTCTAAGCGGGTTGAAGAGGGTTGCAAAGCCAAGGCTCTGGGTGGTTCGGGTTGAAACACGGAGGTTCGGCGTGGTCGAGGTTGGAACCTCAGCCGGAATTTCGTTGAAAGCCACTCAGGCCCCAATTTCGGTCATGTTTCGATTGGAGGGATCTGGATGTTGTTGGGTATTTTTGGCGTACAACGTAGACCGCGTCACAACCCCTATCTGTTCACACGTTGTGCGGGAAGTAGTCGTCTCCCAGACCAGCCACTCCCCCCACCTTCTCGGACGCCCTTCAGGCGGTGGACAACACCTTGCCCTTTGCGGATCAAGTTGTCTTCCCCTCCGAGGTCAGCAAGTGCGCGCAAGTGTGCGGGGTATCTTCAATGCTTTGGTTTTTGCAAACATGTCTGACGTGCAGGCAACTTGTACCTTGGACATCCTTGGACCCTTACAAACAACAACGTTCACGACACTCCAAAACCGTTTACACCTGTATCATATTTCCACCATCATAGTCTTGCAGCTACAGCCTGCACACAGATGCAGCTACAGCAAGGCACGGGTGGTTTGGGGTAGGCACGGGTGGTTTGGGGTAGCTCTCCATGTCCATCCACAAGGAAAACCTTTGCAGAGTTTTCACAGTGGACATGCCCACCAAGAGACCTGACCTGTTATGCATACTATTCTTTTGAAGTTTCAGAGCCTCATTGCAGTTCTGATCCTCACAACCAAGCTCTGATAGTCGTAGGATCTTCAAGTATCTTTTAACCACCGTTGGTGCTGTGTTTGAGGGCAGTCGCTTCGTCCTGCTAAAATCTTCCACGTGCTCTATTTGGAGGACGGCATGTGCGACACTGTTTCTCCTTCTCATCCCAGGGATCGCGCGCCGCGGCACGAGCGCCCCCACCATCCGCCAACGCCCCGGCCAGTCCTTCCTTGGGGAAAATGCCCGCGTGCGTGTGCGCGTCACGTGCGGATTCCTGGGCACCGTGCTCGGGTGGGTGGGAACGAAGAAAACAAACATTTGTTGTGAACCAGTTGGCGGTAGAACTCCATGATGAACAGTCAGTTCAAGTGCGTGGGAGCAGAGGTCGCACTGGAACTTTGTGCGGATCTAAAAGCCTTTCAACACAGATCCTAGAATCCTAGAAGAATCTTTTGACCCACAGATTCCCTTCCTTTTCGCGCTTTCAGCTTGGGACCCCCCCAAGATTCCCCGGTTTGATCCGCCCTTCCTTCTTCCCGCGCTTCGAAACAACAGAACACACACCGGCCCCGCTCGCCCGCTCGCTCAGTTCCCGAAATTCGCGATGACTGCCGAAGCTGAAGCTGAAGCTGTGGACCGAGGTACCTGGATGACGACTTGCGGGTCTTCCGGAACGAGAAGGATGACCAAGTCTTTGTCTACATCAAGGCATAGGCTCCGCTCCGCCGGGCGCCTGAGGGGCGGTTGGCGGGGCGGTTGCCTCGACCGATGCGACGTGGTCAGATGGAGGGGCGGAGCGGGCGGAACTGGGCCGGGTTGAGGTTTTTAGAGGTCCAAGGACCCTCATGTCTTGAGGTGTGTGCCATCTACAAAGGCCGCTTTTCGTTTCTTTTTTTCTGTTTGTCCTCCGAAGTCCTCCGAAGTCCTGACGCGCTTCGCGCAACCCGGTCCGTCGTCGCCATGACGTTTGGGGCGAACGGGACCCGACTCCCACCCGAAGGATCTGAACGGACCGGGGTCGAAGCCTGCTGTTCACAGGGGTGGCCCCGTTTTGCCCCGTTTTGGAGGGTCCGGATTCGTAGGGCCTTAGGGCAGTTGGACTCAAGTTGGACTCCCTGGAGAGAAGAGAAATAGACCAGTCATTACCAGTCTACTGTCTACCCATTGGTTGTTAAAAAAGAGATACACTCCCATATCATACGGGTGGTGGTCTTCTCACGGGGGAAGTCTTGGCACCGTCCTGAGTATATTTCGGAATCGGATGTCTACTACGGCGACGCACATATGTACTGTATATAAAATGTATCTAGTGCTCGGATTGATTGAAGATTAATGTGGTAGATTCCAGACATTCTTCTCTTTCTGTCGCTTCACCCTTCTGATGTTTGCACACGACCACAAAGCTCATTACAATGACTACAGCAACCCAAGTGTATTTGACAAACCTTTCCATTGGTTCTGTTCTTGAGAGGTCTGAGGTGGGAGTGCAGGCAATCGCTCTGGAGGAAACTAGGTTGCCAACCTGCAGAGTGCCTTAAGACCACATATAGCCGGAACCATGCCATCCAGCCGACCATCCAGCCCACGCCTCAACATCCCGAGCTCGTGTGGTACCTGTTGTTCTCTTGCTTGTCAATCTCTACGCCAAGAAACTGCCGTGCACGGAGCTTCTGCTGAGAGAGCTGCTGATGGAGCCTGCAGCGGTGGAGGTACGCCCTTTTGATGCAGAGCCTGGTGTTTCAGCTGCTGGCCTTGTCAAAGATTTCTCCAACCTAATAGCAATGACCTTCAATCTCATAGCACTGGCCTCCACCCTAGTAGCAATGGCCTTCCGACCTAATAGCAATGGCCTCCAAGCAGGAGTCTCTCTCTCTTTTTCCCCGGACTCCACCGGTCCAAGTCTGCACCGCTGATTGCAATCCCTCCGCGCCGAGTGTGGAGCTTGTGTGCGGGGCATGGAATGCTCTCCCTGCGCCCGGAAAGCGCGAAGGAGGGCTTTGGAGTTCCCCGCTTTAATGAGAAAGGCCTGTTGTATGTATATGCTACTGTATAGATATGAAGCCATTTGAGCCCTGTTTCAATAGGAAAAGACCAAATATTTGGTGGTTGGTGGTCCCAAAATAGGTCACTCAGATATACAGTACACTCTTCCAAACTTGCATGAATATTGAACATGGACTCTGGAATGTGTTTTGACACGTTGGTGAGGCATCCATGCCTATGTTGGTCGTCGGGAGTGCAACTTCATTAGTTGCCATCTAAGTGGACCAGTCGTCTCAGACATCGTTTCCGATGAGAAGCATTTCAGCGGGAAGTTTTCCCGAGTGCTATAAGACTCTTTCTTTATTCTGCGGCCCAAACCCAGAAGGACACAATGGCCAACCATTCTTTTGAGGCTCATGATACATGGACTTTCTAGGATGCATCAACTTTGCTCAGTGAATGGTAGTGGTCTGGAAGACCTTTGCTTCGCGGCTTCGCTGATCTTGTTCACTCTTCTGGCCGAGTTCGGCCATTTTCTGCCGGAAGGAGAGGGTCCATCGATTCAGACGCCAACGTTGTTGGGACATTTGGGACGGTCTGACAAAGGCCCAGTGGTGAGCAGCCCATCTTTGCATGACCTCTCACCTCTCAGCATGCCCGAGCTATCATCACATGGCGCTGCACAGAAAAAAAGGAAGTGGGTTTCAGTCCTGTTTTCATTGCTATTTTTGTTCGAGGAATTCGTAGTCTTCGATCTGACAACTTTCCAGTCTTCGATCTGACGACTTTCCAGTGACAGATCTGATCTATAAAGAGCCTCGAACCCTGAGTGATCTTCATTTTGGAGGTGGTGAAAAAGAGGGTCAACAGGGTCTGTGTGCAGGCTCACTCAGCTTGTCCTGGATCTATTTAGGCCCCTGGTACCACCTGGTACCCTACGAGCATCTTTTTTGTGAAGGCACTTCCTTCCGACGGCACCCCTTCCGACATGCCGCCCACACAGCTGAGCCACGCGGTTTTCGGTTGGAAAAGCGGTTCTGCGGGTTCCGCGGCGGTGGATGCGTCCACCGACATGCGAAGGGAATGGGAATCCAGTCATCTGATGATATTTTTCACCCCGGGACATGGAAGAGAACGAAGCTGATGTTTAGGGGGCTTTGGCTGGCCATTTGGGGGGGTTGAAAGATCATGACGAGGTCTACATGAAGACTCTTTTGTTGCAGGCTACATGTGCTTCATGTCCAATGGCTTACAATGGCTTACGCTTCCTTGCTTTGGAAGCTTCCATGGCGGACGAAATCTGGGAAGGATCGAGACTGGGAGAAGATAGGGCTTCCGGGTCAATGGTCGTGTGCTATCTAAGATGATCACTGACTTTTTGGGATGGAAAGGCCTCCTCCAAGCTAAGCTATAGCTTGCCTCCACTGACGCGTGATGCCAGATTTTTTTCTTGTCCAACTAACTCGATCAAGCGATCAAGCGCGTGTGCATCAACTCTGCGTCATGCTTTGGACTTGTGCTTCTTGTGCGGTTCTTTTGGGCTTCAGCACTGAACTCTACGATGCACAGACATGCCAGGCTGAAAGGAGAGATCTCAGGGTAACTTCAAGAAACGTGTCTTTTCAAATAGTTGTATGCCATACGCCATACACATAGTTGCGCACACAACGTCCGCATCTGACCAATTTGTTCTGCTAAGAGCTTCCTTTTCTGCACCCTTTTTGGAAGCTGGAAGACCAGCAAAAGATCCCTTGACTTCTTCTGATGAGCGGATTCAGAACATTCAGAGGATTCTTTAGGTGCAATTTTTGGTTGACCCGGACACTCAGTGAATCCATCCATCCGATCCATCCTTTCAACATACAGCTGTCACCATCCCCTTAATCCCTTATATACAACCCTTTTTCCATCCCCCTTTTTTCCATCCAACCACCCCCCGCAGCTTCTTGGGCTGCTGGAGAGAGATCCGCCGCACGCCCATAAGCCCGGCCCAGGGGACAAGGGCCGGTCCGTGGGCGACGCCCATGGCGGCGTTGGTGCCGGGCTTGGAAGATGAGCTGCGGAACGCGGGTTTAGAGCGGTGCCTGGTGGCCGCAGCCGAGTGGTGTGACAGGCGATCCCACGCACGCGGGGGGGAGAGAGAGCGTGAGTCGGGTGGGGGGAATGCGTGGGGGATGGGAGGGTTTCGAAGAGAGATAGAGAGACAGAGAGAGAGAGAGAGGGACATCATCTTCATGGAACCTGAAGAGATGGAGAAAGGTCGAAGACTTACATCTATGAAGTTTGAACACACTATTTATGGTGGCTTCTATGTTCTTCTATAGTTGCTGTAGTTCACACATCGTTCACAGTTCGACGTGAACTCTCCATGCACGGATAGGGGGGTCGTCGTCCTCGCCAGGATGGGTCCCAAGGACATGGAGGAGATCAGCGAAGAGGAACGGTGGGAGGTGGAGAAGGAAGCAGAAGACCTCCTGAAAGGGGGTCCAAGTGGGGGTCCGGTAGTGGGTGCCACAAAAGGAAGTTTAGGCCAGGAGTCACCATGTGAGTTTGGGTGGTATGGCTAGTCACTAGTTCCAGGGGCCGTGGAGGTGGTTTCGGGGCAACCCGATCTTCCTCACGAGGTCGTGACTTTGGGGGGCGGGGAGGCTCTGGTTTGGACGGGATTTTGGGGGATTGGGTGTCTCAAGAGGGGTGACGCAAAGTCTGAAGGGTGCCTGAGGTGGTACCTGAATTTGCAGATCTGCTTCTGCAGACATGACCGGGTTTTTCCGGTGGGAGGCCCAAAGCTGGACCAGTGGAAGGCCCAAAGGCTTTGGCCGTTTCTTTCCCAAAACATCGAGTGGTTCGGAGCAATCTTGAGAGCGCAGGGGGTTCAGCACTCATCGACGACCTGCATGGGCGTAGTAGACCTCCTCATGCTTCATTCACCATGATGAAGAAAGGACTTTTGGATGGATTGACTTTAGCCCTAGCTAGAACCCTACTCAACTGCTTTAGAGCGACTGTTTTGTCCTCCAAAAACGTCCCCACAGTCCGATATCAATGTCACGCATGGCATGTGATACCTGCCCCCCATGGTCGTGCGACAAAACAACGCAACCTTGATCGTTGGGTGGCCGTGCTGACTTCGACGGCAACCCATCGACCGAACCCGGGTGTGCGGTGCAAATCGCCCCGCGCTCTTCGGTGCAAATCGGCCGGTGCTTCGACTCAGACTCCTCGTTTCTTTGCGCCGATGAAGAGATCACCCAGCGCGCGCTGGGTGATGAGATCGACCGCGCTTGCGCGCTGCCACGCCGGTGTCAGGAGATTTTCGATGACTTCGCGGAGGCGTTGCAACTGAAACCCTTGGAGCGAAGGCAACACCGGGGAGTAGCGGCTTGGAAGGGAGGTGGAGGCCTGGGGCCTACCAGGTGCCCACAGGATGGAGGGTTTACCCTCTGCCCCTCCCAGATCATCCAACCTGCCCCTCTGGTAGGTTCCAGGGTGGCAATAGAAGATCTGTGCCAACAAGATTACTGTAGAATGGTTCAAGAGACGATGGTTGTACTGTAGGATGGTTGTACTGTAGGGTGGTTGTACTGTAAATTGGCAATAGATGTTCTTTCGATTTCTCGACAAGGGTTCCAGCAGCCGCAAGTGCCAGGCGGCTGCTGAAAGGCGAGCGGGTGTGTGGAAGAAAGACGAGAACAGCGACTGCGTTGAAGAAAGACATGTGACATCGAACA